GACAAAAACGTGATGGTACCTTAAAGACTTAACTGTTATAATGTATATAACTTTGATATACGTTCTTTAGGGCACAAGCTCCAGTGGAATGCCCCTGTATATCAAAGAGGCTATCACCTCGTTGTTAAATACCTATTGACTTTCTTACCAACCAGCCCTAATCTGTGCATTTTGATGACACGTATAAATATTTGCTGTGTTATTTCTCTCTCTCTCTCTCTCTCTCTCATGTCTGAGGAAGTGGACTTGTCCCCAAAAGCTCACATTAAAATATAACAGTCTTTAAGCTGCCACCATCTTTTTGTCTTTTTAAATTTATGTTTATTTCTTGATTTTGTTTTTAACCTATAAAACTTGCGCAGACTAACGCAGCTACCTCTTCTACAACTACTCATAAATGGTAATTCCCCCCCCCCAATTTTTTTTCTATTGCTGTTTTCTGGGCTGGCCTGTAGGTGTCGCTGCAGCCCTGTGGTACTGGCTCAGGAAAGCCGGTCCTGCTGTTCCCATGGTAACAGGGTTTACTGATGGAAGGCTGGAGGATGCTCTATTTGGGACGAGGGCCCTTCTCCTCCCCTCCCTGTTCCTTCCCCCCTCTCCATTTCTTTTTCATGACTCAATTAAGGTGCCTGATTCCCAGAACAAAGATCTGTTGATGATGAACTGTGAGGAACATGGGCCTCGACTCGTGCCCATGTGACAAGAGACTTCATAGGGCAGAAAATCAAAATTTTTAAATATATATATATATCTGCTGCCTTGAACACAGCAACAGATGTTTCTCTGATGTTCCAGATGTGGTCAGGCCAAGATTACAATGGTGTCAGGATAAAATAACGTGCAGCATCACGCTTCCCCTGTGGCTTGTGGCGAATTTGCTACCCAGAGATCTAAGGCATGCCTGGCTGCCTTTTTCCCCCAAATCTCCGAGCATCCCAGGTGGACATGCGCGCACAGTTTGCCTTTCGCAGGAAGCGCCGCAGAAAAAGGCGAGCATGCGCCTGCTATCCAATTAGAGAAATCTCACTCAATTCATCGGAGGAGTTTTAATCGATTCACTGATTAATTAATGGATTAAATTTTTCCTTTGACAGTAAACAGTTCAAGGCAAAGAGAGATGTTGTAAAAGACCCCCATGGAGTTTCAGAGGCCAATACTGCCGGCGCAGAAATTGCTCGTATACCACAAAATGTCATTCCTAAGTGCACCACAATATAGCTATGGTGTGTGTGTGTGTGTTTTTGTTCCCATCCAGTGTGGTCAAAAGAGAAGAACATATTTTTTTTAAAAAATAGGGTGTGCCGTACTCTGTGCTTCTATAGCCATGCATTTTCAAAGCTATAAAAACATAACTGAACACCCTCCCTGGTTAATCATCTTTTTTATTATTATTATTCCTCTTCGGTGCTTTATTAGCTCATGACAATGTGCCACAATGAATTATGCACTTTAATTTACACGTGGGTAAATCACCAAGAAGATTCTGGCTGTAATGGGGATGTAATTTTTATTCCGTGATTTGTGACGTTTTTACACACATACTTACTTAACGTTTCCTCGCGCATTAAGTGGTACACCGTGGCAAACACTGCGAGGTGGGTTTAGAATGAGAGAGGAAATATAAGTTCAACTTTAATCCAGAAATGGGGGAGAGGCTGTTGGTGGAAACAGAGAAAGTTATCAATTTGATCCAAGTTTTACAACCACTTGAATTACAGCATTTGTGCTTTGGAATTTTTTTACAGAGAGGTGCATGATGCAAAGAGCTAGAAGTGTATGTTTTGTTGTGTTGCTGTTTCTTCAAGCAGTGACATAAACACAGCGGTTTCATCCAGACTAGTCTACTGCAATGCACTCCACATAGGGCTACCTTCCGGTCTGGGGTCTCCAAGTGGTCTCGCGTCCAGTTCCTAGAGCATGTGCAGAAACCAGGCCTATAACACAAATTTTGTGCCACCTATGAGGGTTACCTGTTTCCTTCCTATCTTAAGTCAAAGTGCTGGGTTTTAGTCTTTAAAGGGTTGAGATCAGTGCATTTCAGACAAAGAAATTCTGGAGGCCCATGGGTTGTTCTGCTGTAAGGTAGACCACATTGTAGATGAGCTGTTGAGCCTGAGTAAAAACAAAACACCAACAACTTGAGGCTGTCTAGCCCACTTATGGTAGAAACAAAATTTCAAAGCAGCAGCTGTATCTTCATAACACAGCCTCCCAGCCATGATGCTACACAATGCCCGTTTTTTCAAAACGACAACCGGTTTCTCACAGGGACAATTGGAGTGAAAAAGATGTCATGCTTGGCCGTATGTAAAAACCACTTATCCCAAGAAGTACCCTGTGTACAATTGTAGGAGCAGACTGCCCTGACTCCAGGTGATTGCTCAATGAGGAGTAAAGCTGATAGGAACAGAAAATTGAGAATATTATTTAGCAAGTTTCCCCTGGAGTGTGTGTGTGTTTTATTGGTTCTTTTGAGAAGGTTTAAACCCTGAGTTGTAAGAAAGCAAGTTGGACAAAACCGAGGCTGTGGGGCTGAATCTAGAGCCAGCAAAAGTTAGACTTAAAGTTTCCAGAATCTGCCAGTTATTGTGACCACCGGCTGTGCTTCTTGAAGGGACTGGGGTTCTAATCAAGTATTTATTTTTAACTTTGGGCTCTGAGTGACTGGGTTTTACTGCAAGTTAGTAGTTGTCTTGGAAGGAAATATAATTCTCAAATGGTAATTCCTTTATGGCCATCCTTACACATTTCTGTACCCTTGATGAAGCAGTATTGTCCAACCTCTAGATCTCATGTTACCAGCCTGCTTGGTGGCTTTACTATCTTTTAAGCATAATAGGTTGGGGTGCCCAACACCACTAGAAGGAATTATTCAGAGCCAGCATTATCCTTTTAACCCTCTATCAGTAGGTTTTATCATCATCAGTATTTTTTTTTTTTTTTGGGCTTATATACCGCCCCATAGCGCTACAAGCATTCTCCGGGTGGTTTACAATTTAATTATACAGGCTACACATTGCCCCCCCAGCAAGCTGGGTACTCATTTTACCGACCTCGGAAGGATAGAAGGCTGAGTCAACCTTGAGCCGGCTACCTGGGATTTGAACCCCAGGTCGTGAGCACAGTTTTAGCTGCAGTACAGCGGTTTAACCACTGCGCCACGAGGCTCTTAGAATATCTCAGAGCTGGAAAGAATCTTATGCGTCACTGACTTCAGCTCTATCAAGGAGGCACAGTGGGGAGTCAAACCCTCAACCTCCAGCTCCCCAGCCAGGACCTAAACCCACTGAGCTATCCAGCAGTTCTCATTGTATCTTTCAAGAGTGGAGGACTATTTAGTGTGCCACTGAAAAAGGCATTGCAAAAAAATAAAGTAGAATAACATAAAAATAGGAAAAACAAAGAGGAGAAAAGATGGTGCAGGTTTGCTTTAAAATTGGAATAGGCTGAACCATATTTACAGGATTCAGTGTTAAAACCGTGGTCAGAATTGGGAGAGAAATACAACCCAATTCGCCCAGGTGGGGAAGACTGTAGACCAGGTAATGCAGTCCAACAACATACTTTGTGGAGGATTGCAATGCCTCCTAATCTTGAAATGGAAGACTTTCAAATAGAGAATGGTTCTCTGACCTTCTTCGTTGTTGTTTAGTCGTGTCCAACACTTCATGACCCCATGGACCAGAGCACGGCAGGCCCTCCTGTCTTCCGCTGCCTCCCAGAGTTGGGTCAAATTCATGTTGGTAGCTTCGATGACACTGTCCAGCCATCTCATCCTCGGTCGTCCCCTTCTCCTCTTGCCATCACACTTTCCCAACATCGGGGGCTTTTCCAGGGAGTCTTCTCTTCTCATGAGATGGCCAAAGTATTGGAGCCCCAGCTTCAGGATCTGTCCTTCCATTCAGCACTCAGGATTGATTTCCTTTAGAATGGATAGGTTTGATCTCCTTGCAGTCCAGGGGACTCTCAAGAGCCTCCTCCAGCACCACAATTCAAAAGCATCAATTCTTCGGCGGTCAGCTTTCCTTATGGTCCAGCTCTCCCATACATACATCACTACTGGAAAAACCACAGGTTTGACTATTCTGACTTTTGTCGGCAAGGTGATGTCTCTGCTTTTTAAGATCCTGTCGAGGTTTGTCATGGCTTTCCTCCCAAGAAGCAGGTGTCTTTTAATTTCATGGCTGCTGTCTCCATCTGCGGTTATCATGGAGCCCAAGAAAGTAAAATCTGTCACTGCCTCCATATCTTCCCCTTCTATTTCCCAGGAGGTGATGGGACCAGTGGCCATGATCTTAGTTCCATCAAGGGTCCAGAAACCAAGGACTATCCTCTGTAAATTAACAAAAATGGACAGTAGTCGTCAGATCCATGAATAGAAACTCACTTTAGAGTTGCGTAATGCCTTTGTAGAATAGAAGTCAGAAACATAATGAGTTCTTAGTAAATAAGACATGTGAAGATGGGGTTTTATAGCACCCATTCCTGGGTCAAATTATACAATAAAGAAAAACGTGTATTTTCTGCTGTCATCTTCCAGGCATGCCGTCTCTTCAAACCTGTATGCCTGAGCAGTTAGAGTTGCTTCTGCCGAAGACCAAATGCAAAGGAAAAGCAAGCTGATACGTACTATGCAAGGTGATGAACAGAGGTCGTTTCCTTTTTAAGGAAGCTCTGCTTCTAATGATGCAGGAACTGGATTGCCTTGTCTGACCCTGAGTCTCCTGACAGCACTTTTATGGAATGCATCTTAAAGACCAAACAAGAGGTGAGTGGGATCAATTGACTCATCCATGCATTTAGCTTACATACCCCCAAGAGTGTGATAGGCATTTTCTGGGAGGTTGACAACCAATGTTGATGTATTTCTTCGTTCACCTCTGCCTTAATCCTGGTAAACCCAATCTGCATTGAGCGAGGTCTATGTTATGAGATCCATCCTCTCTTTCTTTCCCAAGCCATTATCATAATCATGGCCTTCTTGCTTCTATTCCTGTATTACTGAATAGTCTCTCTGCCCTCACGCCTCTGACCCTCAGGGACCCTGGGCATCTCTGCTCACACTCCGGCTGTGTTGCTGCCGAGACACAATCAACAGCTTGAACTCCTTGGGGTGTTGGGTTCCTTTTATTATGCTTGCTGTCCTCTGTTCTAAATTAAAAGCAGAGCCATCGCTTTACCCCTTGAAGCCTGGATTTTACTCTCTTGTTCCTTGCTTCTTGGGCTCTAGAGGAAGCCTCTAATTCTGCCTGAAGGCACGCTTTTATTTTCTCGTTAATTGCCAGCAGGAAATTCTTCTTGCATGGTGCCTGGGGTTAAATTAATTAGAGGCTGTTTTTTTCTATTTTCATTAAAAAAAAATTTTTTTAGAAGGCAACAGGCTGAGTTGAGAAGTGGGGGAAAAATAGCGGGCAACCGTCTTGCTTATTAGAATAAGCTGTGCTCCTTAGAAGTATGTGGTGGATTAGTTCTTGCAATAAACAGATGGATAATTGCATTCTGGTTTGGATGAGGCATTTATGGTAAGCAGGGTGATGAGATCACTGCCATCTTACTCCCTGAAATTTCAGAACCAAAAGCTAAAACCTAGAGGTGAGCTATTTTGATGTCACAGGAAACAGACTCTTGAGACATCAGAAAGGATGATTACAAGGCAGTGCATGTGTGCAGGCGTCGCAGAACCAAAAGCTAAAACCTAGAGGTGAGTTATTTTGATGTCACAGGAAACACTCTTGAGACATCAGAAAGGATTATTACAAGACAGTGCATGTGTGTAGGCATCACACAGTAAGGACTATGTGATGAATTTAAAGGTGAGAGGAGCTACAGCACCAGAACACAACATTTAGAGTTGCTCGGTTGGCAATATTCTGTTCCCTAGATGTCAGGTCCAAAGCTTCAGGTTCAGAGAAAAGACCCAGAAGTATCTTAAACCAGAGATCTGGTGATCCTAACATCAGAAGGGACTGTGTATCATTTTGGGCTATTGCATCTCCCTGATGCCATTGGTCATGTTAGCTGGGGGATTCTGAGAATTGTCAAAAATAACTTTTCCAAGCGGGGATATACACAAAGCACCATTCTGGGTGGGTTTACAGCATAATAATAAATCTGGAAAATTCATCTGGATGTGGAGTGAGTGTAAAGAAAAGGGAGCTCTGCACAGCCTTCCTGCTGTAGCAGGAAAACCTGAAGTTTAAGCCTAAAACTTTTTGAATAAATCTGGAAAATTCATCTGGATGTGGCGTGAATGGGAGGAAAACCTGAAGCTTAATCCTAGAACTTTTTGTTGTTTAGTTGTTATATCATATCTGACTCTTCATAACTCCATGGACCAGAGCACGCCAGGCCCTCCTGTCTTCCACTGCCTCCCAGAGTTGGGTCAAAGTCATGCTGGTTGCTTCGATGACACTGTCCAACCATCTTGTCCTCTGTCGTCCCCTTCTCCTCTTGCCATCACACTTTCCCAACATCAGGGTCTTTTCCAGGGAGCCTTCTCTTCTCATGAGATGGCCAAAGTACTGGAGCCTCAGCTTCAGGATATGTCCTTCCAGTGAGGACTCGGGGTTGATTTCCTTCAGAACGGATAGGTTTGTTCTATTTGCCATGGACTCCCAAGAATCTCCTCCAGCACCACGATTCAAAGCCTATAACCTTAGTTTTAACTTTAAAAAAGGGGGGAGTAAAGATTGCCAAGTTGCTGAATGCAAGAACAGATTGCAGATTTTGGGTTTCCTGGCAGAGAGGAAAATGTGGAATAGACAGGTATGCAGCTATATCTTCTCCTCATTCATTGGTACATTCCTCTCTACCTGCTGGTCTTTGCCTACATGAACATGGAAATCCCCTCTATCTCTTGTTTTCTGTTTCGCAAAAACACATACATGCTCATGTATCAAGAAAGCATGTTTGTTATCTCTTGGTGGCCAGATCTCCAGAGATGTCCACAACAGGTTCAGGGTATCTGTGCCAGCAGGAAAGAAAACAGTAGTCCCTCAGCCTTACAAATGCTGTCCGTCTTCATTGGCCAAGTTGAGCCGATCTTAATATATTAATCATTCCCAAGGGTGTCTGCTGATGTTGCTGCATTCCGTCAATTAATCTTCCTTCTACTGAAATATTTTTCTCCCTTGACAAGCCATGTGCGGAGATGAACGCCCTCACCACTGCTCATTGAGGTTCAAAGCCCAAACCTACCTTGTTAATAGTCTGGGAGGGGCGGGTGTCTTTCCCCCAACTTCATTCAACAGTGCTGTAGGCATGAGGGGGCTGTGTAAAAACTCTTTCCGGAGATTAAAGACAGCTCTCTGCCAAAGAAGACTCAAATGTCTTCATGACATCCTAAATTTACAAAGAATATATGTATATATATATTTGAAAATCAGTTTCTTTTCTTTTTTGAATGACAATGGAAAGGGTTGTCATAAAAAGGACTGAGCCAGTTGTGAACTTTACCAAATTAAGTCTCTAATGCAAAATTCATGCCGAGGCGGTCGCCAGTGAATGGCGGTTTAATAATTCCGACTCAGGCGGAGCGGCTGTGTAGCAGGAATGGAACACGGCTTGTGTTTTGGATGAGAGTTTCCTCGTCCCCATGGGCTTCCTGCTCAGCAGCTGTCTGCTCCTCTGTGATAAGGGGGCTCACAAAACCTTGCGCACCTCCACAAGGCAGCTGCCACGCCAGCCAGCATCTCCCCTTCCGACACAGTTCGGTATACATTCCATGCAGAGTGAAAACGTGGAGCGTGATGTTGCTTCGCTTCCCCCTCCTCTCAGCGATCAGAGTGACACTGAGATAAGTGAGTGTCACTCTCCGTTGGCGTGCCAGACATTAAGTTGAAAGCAAATCTTTTTTTCCTTCAGCACCATTTGTCCATATCCAGACTTGCTCTTCTCGTTTCACCACCCGGCCCTAATATTTGGTAGGGACTGTTGCAGAGTTTTGTTAAATTTCTCTCTTGTGACACACTAGAAGTACAGAGATCCACAGAGGAGAATATCTGGCGGTTCCCCAGAGTCCTCCTCTTTCTCATCAACTGGCTCTTACAGTCTCAATAACTCCGTCGGAGACATGAGTAAGAGAAAGAATAAAACATTTGCTTACTGTCAATTGAAATTACAGGCTTGCGTATAATGTTTTATTTACTGAACACATACTAGTAGGAGTAGGATAGAACAGCAGAGCGGTGGGATGTAAAATTGTGATTAAGGCTCTATTTGATTTGTTTGGTAAACTGACTTTTCTGTATCCGGTTTTACAGCATCTTGAAGTGGGCCTGTCAGTTGAACTTTTCAATTAAATTCTTTGTGCCTTTCTGTAAATGCTTCGCCTTATTCCCCAAGAGGTTGGAAGCAGCCTGTAGTTAGTCTGTAACTAGTCATTGGTGTTTGAAACAAAGAAGGCATAAACTGAGTTACATTTTAAAAGTAGCAAAATAAGAATAAAATTATGTTACTGATACAATGAGTAACATTTTCTGATTATGTTCAAAGTACAGCATACTTTTAAGGGGCATTTCTTGTCACCTGAGATGAGTTTTAACAGCCTTTCCAAAGGATTTTTGCTATTCTTTTATCAATCTTTTGTTTCATTTTTTAACAAAGTACAGCATACTTTTAAGGGGCATTTTAAGGCACATGAGATTAGTTTTAACAGCCATTCTTTTATCAATCTTTTGTTTTGTTTTTTTTTAAAAGTAACAGAAAGCAATGTCTAAGTAACAAATTCTGTTGTAACTTAACTAATTATTTTTCAACCAAACATGGTAACAATGAGTAATGGGAGAGAACTACTTTTAAGAAGTTACTTTCCAAGCTCTGCTTTCCATAGATTGGAACCTCAAAAGAGGAAATATCCTTTCCCCCCATTGCTGGTGTAGTTCACAGGGATGGACTAAAGAAATTAGGGTCCTGTCCTGAGCAGCTATTATGGGATACTGCTATAGGTCATCTCCAAGGCAGCAGCTATAAACAGAAAAGGTACAGAAGATGGTGAACAGAGTCCATTACAGGGAAACAAGAGACTGGGTTCTGAAGAACAGAGGAAAGCATCAGAATCTGGCCATCTTTCAGAAGCCCATTGCTTGAGTTTCTAATTGGTGAGCCATTTCTAAGACAACAATTGAGCAAGGTCTCTTCCAGAGCTGCAGATTCCCTGATTGGCTTGCGCCAACAAGCTGCCGTACAGCCCCATTGCCATTTTCGGGATGGGGCTGTAGAGCATCAGATACAAGACCAATGAATGGTTTCCTCTTGTCTCCACCTGACTGTCCCCAGGGAATGAAGGGCCAGAAGTGTGTGAGCTGAGAGACTGGCTCGTTCAAACAAGCTGGTCTCTGTGTGTAGGTATGCACAATGTTGTATACAGAGAGTGACTTTACTGACTGCTACTTTATGAGAGAGCAGGAGAGAAGGTATTAAATTAATTGGAGGGTTCCCTAAGGGAGCAGGTCTCGGGGGCAAAATACATATCGAGAGAGATGTTCGAATGATGGGCCTTTGATGTGAGTCTACCATTTGTGCATCTTACTTAGAAGAGCGCTTTTTATAGGGCGGACATTTGGCTCTGGACCGAAGAGTAATTACAGCTAAACAACCCATAAAAGAGAGACGTGTAATTTCTACAGGGAGCTACTTGGCCATGGCCTTTAATTTAGGACTGCCAAAATACAGTCAGTGGTAGACTCCAGGCTGGTTTGGTCACAGAAAGAAGCAGGATTTGCAACACGTTGGTTAGACCAAAGAGTCAATGCCCGTGAGCACCGTCTG